TCCAAAGGATTTTCATTCCATTTATTTTGATTGACTCAACGCTCGGATGACTTCTTCTTCCCATTGCCTCACATTTCTCTTTGCATTCAATGTTTGTTTTAAATGTTTTTTATTTCATTTCATAAAAATATATTACATTTACTCATTGAAAGTAAAGAGTGATATAAACAAAAGTTATACAATTTATGGAATTTTAATTATATTTAAATTTTTAATATTATTCTAGATTTATTTTAATGTTGATAAAATAGACAACATTTTATGTTGAAATTTTAACATGATAGATAATGTTACACATTTAAATTTAAGCGTAATTATTAAAAATATATTTATTAAACTATAATTATACATTTTAATAATTGAAAAAGTTTACTATTTAAATTTTTATAAAAGTTTTATCTAACAATTTTGCAATATTTGTTGAGATATTTTATATGTTTGAAGACAGATATTTAATAAATATTTACATATATTTATTTTTTTTGACACAAAAATTTTAATATCCTTAAGTTAAACATTATATAAAAATTATTATATTTACACAAAGTTTTTACAAAATATATATAAGTTTAAAACATAAATTTTGGTGATTGCTATAAAAACAAAAGCAAATTATAATACATTTATCTAATACAGAGAATACAACAATTAAAAGTACAGTAAAATTAAAACGTGATATAAAAACAAACATTAATTATATGCCACTGAATATTAATGATAGTTAAAATGCATTGACATTTAGGCTTAAAAGTTCACAAAAAGCATTAGTAAATAGCATTAGAAATCATATATCAAACGTATGGCACAAATGCTAACTTAATGGGAGAAAAAAACAATATATAAATGAATGAATTTTATGTTAAACTAATAGTGAAATGAATATCATTTTTGTATGTATGATATATAATGTACAGAATATTCATTCAATAGTCTAGTATATAAATCCAATATTCATAAAATAACAATTATAGTTTTATGTAGAGCAATATAACATTTATTCTGTATACTTGATATAAATAACATTAATAGTATTTTATTGTACAATCAATACCTATAATTAAGTTTTAATATCAAAACACTATTTATAGTATCATTAATTAAACGCATAGTTTTTATTTTGGGCGACATTTAAACCCCTTAACTGTCTGCCAATTGTAGCCTAAATTTTACACAAAAACATATATAAAACAAAAATACATAAAAATATTATTCATAACATTATCTCAACCAAAAATACATCATCTATTATTTATGCCATAAATAAAATTTTGTGATAAAAGTCATCCCTGTGTGCACATCCCTGTGATGTAAATGGTTACCCCGTTGTTATATTCTGTGGCATATAATCAGATATTTATATATACCATATATCTATGTTATATACGTTAATGCAATGAATAATAGTATTGTGACACGTGTCCAGACCGTGAAATATATCGATGCATTTTTCAGGGCCACACCCATTGAGGCTTTATATATGTACAATGTATAAATTTTTTTGCTGGTTGCGCTAGTGTGTTTTTGCATCACTGAATATACATCAATGCACTCAATGCATAGATTAGAGAGAGAGAGAGAGAGAGAGAGAGAGAGAGAGAGAGAGTATGCACTGAGCAGTTAGATAGAGGTTTTCGGGTATTAACGCTCAAAATGCTATACAAAACACAAGCGATCTTCGAGTCAATAATAGCCGCGAAATACTGGTATATATAGTGAGGGGAAAGGGATGTGATGTCAATTCAGCGTACATTTGGTGGAGTGTTATGTATGTGTGGAGTGACTGTATGTGTGTATCAGTTAGAGAGAGAGAGAGAGAGAGAAATTGTGGCCACAGTTTCATTAAGTAATATAAATATATTTATGGCTATTCTATCCGTTAGCTCACAATTTTTTATGCACTTTATATGCTTAGCATATGTTATATAAACTCATATTTGTGGTAATATATTGGCATAATATATGGTTAATGTTGGCAACAAAGGCCGTAAGTTTTATATTTCGCTGATGGTAACTAATAATCGCAATATACAGTAATACAGTATAATAAACTTCGGTATAATTAAACATTAAAACACGTAATAATTGATGTGAAATAATTAAATTATAGCCCATATTAACAGGAATTGTTATAAACACAGTTTGAAAGCCCAATGAAAAGTATTGCTAAAAGTGTATATTCTGTGTGCCGTAGGGTTTGCTAAGCAACGAATGGGAATTAAATTAATTATTAGTAATTTGATTCCCATTATTCCGCCGATTAATTAACAGAGAATGGGTTTTAAAACCCAATCGTTAAATATTATATTCTGTGTTCCGTAGGGTTTCCTAAGCAACGAATGGGAATTAAATTAATTATTAGTAATTTGATTCCCATTATTCCGCCGATTAATTAACAGAGAATGGGTTTTAAAACCCAATCGTTAAATAATAAACTATTTATATGTTTGTTTGCGAATCACAAAAGTTTTGCTATAATTACTGTTAGATATTATATAAGAGAGAAAAATAGGAAACACTGTATAAACAAAAGCCAGAAACAGATGTGTTTAACCACTCGAATAGCAATTCTTCATCAATTCGTTCACTTGAGTTGTCGCAGGAATTTTGACCATCAGTTTATACCCACTTTTATACCCCATTTAATTGGCTTATTATTAAGACATTAATTATTGCTCAGCAATGTTCATATGGTTATGAGAAATACAATTATTTTTCACATTAAATACAATAGATATTAAATTTCAAGCAAATAATTGATGGAAAATTATATGTTTGCAAAGAATATTCTGAATAGCATTTTGTATTATAAGATGTAATGAGTTTTATAAATGAATTTCAAACTCTAGTGAAGCAATATTTTTAATCCGATATTCAAATAAAATATAATAACTTATTATATTAACAGGAATTAAAGTGCAATTATTTTCAAAAAATAATTTATAATTAATTATTAATTAATCAAAAATAGTTTAAATATATTTATAATTATTTGTTCATTACTTTAAGTTTTAAAATTAGTCTCAAAGATCACAGTGTTTTGGTTTCTCGCGACACAACTCCCGGAGCAGAGTCTTCGCCTCTTCGACGCCATTCTTTGCCGCAAACTTTAATAGTTTTCTCACTTCGCCTTCAATTTGCGAGAAACAAAACAAAAACAAAAAATGATAAGAAAACACTTGTCTTACATTTAGTTATGCCTTTTGTGTGCAAACCTTTTTCAACGTCAGTCTTATAGCCGGAGAGGTGTCCGGCGGCTAAGTTGTAGGCGGAGTGCGGGTGTCCTCTGTCTGCCGACTTACGGAACCAGTGAAACGCCGCCGAAGTATTAGTCCTGTCTTTGAGCAACTTATGGGCCAATACGTGTTGGGCGTTGTGGTCGTCCCAGTGATGGGCAAAGAAATGGGTTAAATGGTAGTGGAAGTGATCGAAATGATAGTAAGTATAGTAGACTTGGAATACGCCGATCAATACACAGGATATCTGATTAAACACATGACAAAATAGTTATGTTTAGATTAGATTACACGATAATTATGGTAAAAATAAATGGTGTGAACATTACTTGTACGCCAATAATAAGCCGTCCGTCGGGTTTCTTACGCCTGGCGAACGCCACCCTTGGCTTCGGTTCGATAAGTGGTCTGACATTAGCTAACAGTTCATCGGAAGAGGCGGACGACTTTCTTCGCCGCCGAACTCCACCCATGGTTTTTGGGATCAATTAATAAGATATATAGTGTACTGCACTGTAGTGTGTGTTATATCCGACAATCACTGCTAACTATAGTATTAAACACTTTATGAAATGGCAATTGTGTTGAATGTGTGGCACTAAAAGCCAAAGTGCTGTTACATTAGTATTAATATGTCTGTGGTATTGATATGTTGGGTCATATGGTGGTGGGAATTGGGGTTTGTTGTGAGTTTCAATCAGTTTCCATGCGATTCGTGGCAAAAATCATGGGTCGATCTGTTCACTCAACCAATGCTTTTTTACCACTATTAAGATTTTATTATGTTTTTAGTTGAGATCTGGTATTATTTTTTGTCGGCGCAAAAAAAGTTGATGCCATTAATTATTCATAAATGTTTGTCATTTGATTTATTCCCATATATTGTACAGTATATTAATTTGTATGCAATATATAGTAGGCTAATGATAGAGGTTTTATGCTTTTAATTTGTTTATAGATAATCAATTTTATGCATTACTTACTTTAATAGCATTTGTAAGTTTAATTGCTATGGGTTTTTCAAAATGGTCAATTAGATTCTATGGTCAACAACAACTACTCTTAATCATTAAGTTAATTATGTAATACCTATTACCACTTTATATCTATTTTCAAACCAAGATCTTTTATTTAAAGCATTTTATCGCAAATTAGTTTTTAATTTTATTAATTAGTATTTTGAAAAATTTTGAGATCTGGTCATCATTTCTATCAATCATTTTGACGAAAGCTTTCTAATGAAGACAATCTTTAGACAGTTCTGTACTCCAGGATCAGTCGGTGTCCAACTGTGGCTGCGGTGAGGGTTGGGATGAGTGTTGTGTAGACACAGACCACCAGTGACTTGACTATTGGTCCAATGGATGAATCCATGCCCAGTCGGTGTCCAACTGTGGCTGCGGTGAGGGTTGGGGTGAGAGTATTGGTGCGAACCGTTAGGAAACATAACGTGACCATTGGTTTACATCTCGTTTACAAACCCCTTGTATTTGATAAGAACTCCATTACAAAAACATCAATAAATCTTTTACGCAAATTGTAATTTACAATATAATTAATTTTATTATAAAAATTAGATTCTATATAAAAACAGTCATATATTGAATACAAAACAAGTTATTGAATATAAATATTAAAACATTTGTGTCCATATCTTTAGTGATCACCGCTTATCTCAAACAAATGGTTTACATTTTGAACCCATTTCTTAATGTCTGAATTGTTGTTGTGTTGCAATTGTTGGCCCACTTTTGTGTCCAGAATTCTATTCTCAAGTTTCAAAGCATTCAATTGGTCCCACTTTTTGGACATTACTCTTGATATGAATCTCAATTTGTCTTCAATCTCAGGATTGTCTTCAGCCAAAGGGACAGCATTTGGTTCCTCGAGTGACAGCTCAGCAAATGTATGGTTCACATGAGCCTCAAACTCGTCGTATTTTCTTAACGATGTCTTTGCGGTCGTTATGATAGTCAGACAGTCATCGGTGGTCAGTCCGGCAGTGCTATGCGTTTCGTTAGACAATTGCTTCAAATGTATGACAATTCTTGTGATTACTTGCAATAATTTACAAGAATTTGTTTTATATGTATTGAATGAGTCGTTGGAATCGCTTTCGTCACCAAAGTTTGATTCAATCCAATCGACAATGTCTTCGATATTATCACACATTTTCAACGATAAATAAAATCCGTTTGAGATATAGATTTGAATGTTAATGAAAATGACAACAATTACTACAAATACACACTAATAATAAACTTATATTGAATTTGTGATTTGAGTCTAACTTTAATCACATAAAATCTTATCAATATTTCAAGTGATTGTAAATAATTTATAGTTAAATTGCAAAAACCGTTGAGTGAAATAAAAATCCTTTTAAGTGATAACACAATTGAAATGATTTATATTTAATTTGAAATCACTATTAATAGCGTAAATATCAAGACTTCAATTCAAATCAAACATAACAAACGCTAAATGTCTCGCAATTGAGTTAATTGTTTGCATTTATATTGAATACCATTAAGAGGTTGTGTTTGTTGTGAGAGAGAAGGGTAAGGGGTCTGTGCTGTTGGTCAGAGTGGATGTGGAAGGACTGGGAGATGACATGTCGGCTGTAGTGGTGGTCAGTGTTGTGTCTATGAGTTGATTATTATAGAAATTTGGGTCATATTTGTCGTGAAATCTTATCGCTTATAAAACATGTAGTCTTTGGTGATTGCTATCCATTGTGTTGTTCTCTAACAGAGTTATCAAAACATATGAAAACAGTTGACAACACATCTAAACAAATCAGATGTCGGACTAAAACTAACTTCTCTTCGCGTTTCCGACTCTTCTATTAAAAGCCATATTTTGGGCTAAAGTTTGACAAAAACTTTACAAACATTTCAATGGAATCGTCGAATAGATTGCAAACCAACACTACATTCGAGTCGAGCAAACATTACATCAATTCAATCATTATATGTTTGCTTTGAATAAAAAGTTTTGACAAAATGTAAACTTTTTTGTATTTATTTCTCAATGAATCTATGAATTGAAAGCCAAATTCATGCCATTAGTTGTTATCAACTGTTTTTATATGATATCCTTATTTGATTCATTTTTTTGGACACCATTTGATGCACACTTCTAATCATGTCTTCAAATATGTTTGGTTTTAATAAACATTCAAACCATTCATTCATTCAATTATTTAAGACAATAGTGTTTGGAAACATAAATATCAATACATATGATGTAAAAGTGATGTCTAATGGTCTGAGACTACGGTTTCATCGGTTAAACATTATGGAAGTGTTGTCTTAAACTTAATTAAATTTCTGATTGTTTTTTATATTTTTATTGAAATAATTTTCTGATCAACTTTTTTTGGGTACAAAACTAACAAAATGTTTCTCACATTATATAGTAAGGGATCGAAAGCCTCTAATCTTAAACTCTATACAATGGACGACAATTGTCCCGATATTATACTCTGATATCATTCTCACCACAAAAGGTATTATTGAATACAAATAGAGATTTTTACCACAATTTATATGATATTTGAGTGAATATTATTTAAAAATAAAGTTCTGTTTTTATACACAAATAAAATTAACACAATTAACAGAATTGCGAGACATATAGTGTTTATTAAATTTTATTTGAAATAATGTCTCGTTATTTACGCTATTAATAGTGTTTCAAATTAAATACAAAACATTTCAATTGTGTTATCGTTTAAAAGGATTTTCATTTTACTCAACGGTTATTGCAATAAATCATCAATTCTTTAATCTGTTATCTATTTATTGTATTGATTCCAGTCTTAAGATAATCAAATATGGGTTGCTTTCCATCCAAAAGACCCAAAGGGCACAGAATAGGAGAGACAGAAGTGAATGGCAATCAACACAATCACCAAAAGCCGTCCAAACATGAGCTCAAGAATCAAATGAAAATGAAGGCAAACCACGAGTCGCTGCTCATGACGGCCACCGATGACGGCACTCTCCACACCAATGATACGGACCCTCAGATGCAAGTGTCGGCCACCACTGCCTCATCTCTCACAACGACAACCATTCCGTCAGATGTGTCCACTCTATCCAACACTAGCGCTAAGAGTGAGACCGATGTGAAGGCGTTTAAGGACTCGTTACTCAATAACAACCGAACGGGTAATGAAATGAACGCCGATTTGAATGGTGTGTTGAATGGCGGCGCCCATCAGTCCCTCACATATCCTAACGTCTCATCACTTGACTGCGAGTCCAAAGAGACCATCGAAATAGTGGCCAAAATGCGGATCAAATACAAGCAGAAGAAACACAGCCCATCCGTTAGGGTGTTGTGTAATGAGTTGAATGATTGCCTGAAAACAACTGCAAATGTATTCAAAGTGGTGTCGTTCGCGAAACAGGAGTCAATTGCTGTCAAACGTCTGGATGTTATTCACAACGGATTGAATGTTTACAAAGACATCACTTCTGTTCACTTCAATGACGTAAAGGAAGTGCTCATCCATTCGGGCAGTTATTGCAAAGAAATAAGAATTGAATTGAAATGCAATGCAAGGCTTGAAATTAGCGAAGATTTGGTGAAACCAAATCTCTCATTCAGTGGTATGTTTAATATGATTGCAATTTATTGTCAATTAATAATACATTCATGTATTTACAGCATATCCAAGAGTCTTGTCATTTGTAGTACTGACCAAAACGGAGGCCACAAATGCATTCAACACTGCAGTCAGTGGTAATGCCCTTCGAAAAGAGTTTAAAGGTTTTCATCAAAGTATTTGTGCGGCAAATGAAGGCGAGAAGTACTTCAAAATCATTTCCAAACTTTATTCACCAAAAATTTCTGATATATTGTTTGTAAACTAAAATACATTATTTAAATGAATAAAAGTTCCAAAATTGTGAAAAACTTGATTTAATAAAAATTGTTGAACGAATCGATAGCTGAAAAGTTTTTCAATACAATGTATAAAAAATTATTGTAAAATTGTTGTGTATTTTTACGGAATATAAGTGGGAATAGACTCTAGAATTGTCTGAAGAATCTATTTGTGAGTGATTTATATCCAGCGCTGGTCTAAAGGGAAATGCATTTCGGCGTGAATTGTGAACCGACTTATAAAATGCCATTTCTATGTTGAGTGACAACTGGTTTAAAAGCAATACAATTCATATATTATTAGTTATATGATATGATAACAACTAATGGCTTGCATTTGTCTATCAATTCATCGATTCATTGAGAAATAAATGCAAAAAAGTTTACATTTTGTCAAAAGTTTTTAATCAAAGCAAACATATAATGATTGAATTGAAGTAATGTTCGCTTCACACGAATGTACTGTTGGTTTGCTATATATTCTAGGATTGCATTGACTTTTCAATTGAAAAGCGGCCAAAATATTGAAAATTATTTTCAATTTTTGTTCAACTTTTGAGAAATAAATAATTGTTTTTGAAAATACAAATTGTGTAATAAAATACATTTTGTTAACGAATCGATGCTTTTATTTAATTATATTATTTATTTATGCCTATTATTAGTGCTATTTCTTGTAAATGAATATAATCTATAAAAATATTTTGTTAACCAATTC